AATCTTAAAAAAAAAAAACCCAATCCTTTTGAGGAATTGTAAACAGTTTACCATGATATAAGGATATGAAGCAAGCAGTACAGAACCTGAGTAGAAGGTGAGAAAAGCAAGCAAGATCCATTTCACTGAGGTCCTTACTTCCTAAACTAGGTAGTACGAATTTTAATATGACAGTTTGCATATTGAAATTAAAACACCACCATAATCTGCATGCAGAAAAAGAGTAAAGAAGGATGAAATACACACTTCGTAGCCAGAAACCACTTAGAAGATTTATAACAAAGCCCAGACAGGGCTGGGGATACAGCTCCTTGGTAGAGCCCAAGACCCTAGGTTCAAATCCCTAATGACACAAAATGGGGAAAAAAAAAAAAGTCCAGATAAATGATAGCCCAAACCAACATAGGAGCAGCAGGGAAAAAGAACCAGAGAAACAAGGTAAAACAAGATTTGGTAAATAATCAGGTAATGGAAGGATGGGAAAAGAAGGGTAATACACAAAGTAATAAGAGTGAAGAGATCATATCTTGGATTTTTCCAAGTGACTACAGAATAAATGGGTCACAAAAGGAAGAGAAAATTAAGCTTGATACATAATTTTTCTGACATAAGTTTAAAGTATCTTAGGATCACCAAAATGCAACAAAGTTGAAGATCAAGCTGTACTAAAATGACAACAATTAGGGAGTCATCAAAACAAAGCTAGTTGAGGTCACCAAAGATGAGACCATTCACAGAGAGTAGACAGAGGGAAAAGACAGCAGAAGATAGTACCCCGGAGTATTAAAAAAACATGTGAAGTGTTCCGAGAAAAAGATAAACCAGAAAAGATTGGCTAATATGATAGAGGGAAAGAGAGAAAATATGTCCCAAAAGCATAAGAAAATTTCAAGGAAGATAGTCAAAATGACAAATGTTTAAAAAGATGCCATTAGCTTTAGCAATAGTGAGGTCAATGTTGAACGCCACCCCATGAAATTCAGTGATTGCAATAGATTATCAGACATTAAAATACTGGGAGAAAAATGTAATGAGATTTTTAAAAAATGAATAAAGACAACTTTTTCAAGAAATGTTGAGAAAGGCTGGGCATGGTGGCACAAGCCTATAATCCCTGAGACTCTGGAAGCTGAGGCAGGAGGATCACAAATTGAAGGTCAGCCTCAGCAACTTAGCAAGGTCTGAAGCAACTTAGTGAGACCCCTTCTCCAAAAAAATAATAAATAAAAGTTGGAGATGTAGCTCAGTCGTAAGGCACCACTAGATTCAATCCTAATACAGGAGAAAAAAGTTACAGGAAATAATTACAGGAATTACAGATAAAGTTGAAGAGGAATCTAGGGTGAAGGGGATATATTTAAGATGAGAGACCTAAAGTGTGCTTAAATCCTAGTAAATTAGTGCCAGTTAAGAGTGAAAGAGGGCTAACAAAGTGTTATAGACTGAACTGTTTCCCCAAAATTCACACGTTGAAATCCTAAAGACAGCACCCTCAGTGTATGAAGATAAGGTTTTTAAACAGCTGATTGAATAAGATAAAAGGAGGCTGTTAGGATGGGTCCTTAATCTAATACAACTTGGGTCCTTATAAAAGGAAGTGACATCAGAGGTGCTTGTACGTGAAGGGACAATCATATGAAGAGATAGCAAGAGGGTAACCATCTGCAAGCCAAGGACAGACAACACCAGACCTACCAGCACCTTGACCTTGAACTTTCAACTTCCAGATCTGTGAGAAAATAAATTTCTGTTGTTTAATGCCAGTTTGGCATTTTGTTATGGCAGCCCTAGTAAATTAACACAGGGAGAATTTTCTGCCCCAAAGGACAGAAAATTTAGAATATAATTAGAGACAGAGGCAGACATGTTTGTAGGAGAAAAAACAAAAAGCATGGGCTGGGGTTGTGGCTCAGTGGCAGAGTGCTTGCTTCACACATGTGAAGCACTCGCCTCAATCCTCAGCACCACATAGAAATAAGTAAACAAAATAAAAATACTGTGTCCATCCATAACTAAACATTTGGATGAATGGATAAAAAAAAATGTGGCATATATACACAATGAAATTTTACTCAGCATTAAAAGAGAATAAAATCATGGCATTTGCAGGTAAATGGATGGTGTTAGAGAAGATAATGCTAAGTCAAGTTAGCCAATCCCCCCCAAAAAATGCCAAATGTTTTCTCTGATATAAAGAGGCTGACTCATAGTGGGGTAGGGAGGGGGAACATGGGAGGAATATATGAATTTTAGATCGGGCAGAAGGGTGGGAGGGAAAAGGAGGGGACAGGGGAGTAGCAAGGATGGTGGAATGTAATGGACATCATTATCCAAAGTACATTAGATATCATATCCAAAGTACATAGACATCATATCCAAAGTACATGGACATCATATCCAAAGTATGAAGACTTGAATTGGGTGTCAACATACCTTATATACAGAAATATGAAAAATTGTGCTCTATATGCGTAATAAGAATTATAATGCATTCTGCTGTAGTGTATTTTAAAAAAATAAAAATAAAAAAAAGCAACAGATCTCCTGCCCAACATATTTCCTCTCTGAAATAGAAGAAAACATTTTCTAGTAAAGAGGAAGGAGGAAACGTTGTGGGATAGTAAGCCACTATGTGAAACAAGAGTAGTCACTAGGGATACAGGATTATTAGGCTGCCTGTCCAGTAATCAAAAAAATGTCTACTGTTCAATGAATACCTAGCTTGCATTCATGAATGCTTTCATTCAGTTTAAATATAATGAATTCTGTCAGTGACCAGCAACAGAATTGAAATGAATCAGAACCTGGGTTATGAATTTAGGTATGTGAGATCTTAAGAAAGTCACTTACCATTTCTAGGCCCCAGATTCACCAAAGGAATAGACCTGATAATCAGCATAAAATAATCTCAGAATTTTTTAAATGCTCTAAATTTCATGGAGGCTTGTGCTTGATCTCTGTCTTCTTCAACTTTCACCAATAAAAATAGTGTATCTCAAACTTCATTGAGAATTCCTATCATCTGAATATCTTGTAAAAATGCAAATTTTGATCCAGTAGCTTTCAAGTTGGGCCTGAGATTTTAAGTTTCTAACTCCTAGGTAATGCAATATATAACATTTTTAAGTAGCAAGGGTGTGCAACACTGATTCAGCTTAAACTCTGTGGACTGAGCTATAATCAGTTCCATATTTTAAAAACCAAAGGACACTTCAGACACACTTGTACCGAATTTGCCAGGCCATTCCCTAAAACACTCTGGAATTAACTAATAATGCCCATCTGATAAAGAAAAGAACAAATACTATTACCAGTAATACTAAAATAGGAGAAATGAGATTAAATTACGTATGTACATACATACAACACAAAGATCCAAATCCAACTAAAATTGCCTTTCCCCAAGATCTCTGGTATATTTTAAATGTCATATGACCACATGGATTAATGCTTTCTGGTTTGATTCTGATTGTAAATACATTCATAATATCATGAAATATAAAGATTTTTCTAATAATTGCCAAATAAGCTGTACTTGTTTAGAATCTCCAATCATACTACTTCAACCAAATTCATCTGTAATGGGTATCCTTTTTAACTTTAGGAAATGTAACTATGGCAAAGAATACCCTTCTGAGCTGGAGCAATAGTGCAGCTTGTAATCCTAGTTGCTGGGGAGGCTGACGCAGGAGGATCGGGACTTCAAAGCAATTTAGCCAAGCGCTAAGCAACTCAGTGAGAGACCCTGTCTCTAAATAAAATACAAAATAGGGCTGGGGAAGTGGCTCAGTGCCTCTGGGTTCAATCCTTGGTTAGCTCCCTACTCCCCCCAAAAAAGAATACCCTTCTGTCCTAAGGTTATAATATATGGTCACAACCTACTGTCATATATTATAATCCATTCTGTTTCCACAATTTCCTGTGCTAGTTCCATCCAAAAATAAAATTTGCAATTCTATTACAAAAAAATAGGAAGAAATTTCCTAATTTTACCAAAATCAGTGAAGAAAGATATAAGAAAAGATGTCATACAATGGTTGTATCATACAGTGAAATCACTTATGCTTAATGTGAAGCCTCTGTGCTGAGCAGGTAAGTTTTAAATAAGGCGAAAATGGAGGAGGGAAATCCACATGCACAGGGAAGAGGTCGGGGGTAGGACTCACATAAGGCTGAGAACTGCTCTTCCTTATTTCATTCTAAATAACCAAACCTCAAGGGCACTACTGCACAGTAACTGAGTTCCTTTAAATTGTGGTAAAAAAGAGGTATGTCAATTGTAACCTTGACACCAGAAGGCAATTAATTTACCAGTCCTTGCTATTTATTTAGCCAAATCACGTAGATAAGATTACTTCTCTCCTTAACCAACAGCTCACAAAAATAAAGAAAAATGACAAATGCAATGGGCCTCAAATAGTTTTGCTGAATCATAAATATCCCCAAACATAAATCTGCAGGAGTCTCTGAGATTCAGCATTGGCGGCCATACCTCAGCATGAAACTCCTCTCCGAAAATGCTAACTTCCTTCACTTTTTAATTAAAGGCAAAGCAGTTTAAAGATTTCACAGTATTGCTCTTACCAGCAAGGCTGAATATGCAATACCATATTTACTAATTTGATACTAAAGATAAAATTCTCTCAAAGTTTGCATCACCTATCCCCCAAGGGCAAATATACCACCCAGGCCCGCAATAGCAGCCACAACGGGTACCCTCAGCTCCGCTCTGCCTGGCACACATGTCCCTGTAACGCCGCACCCTGATTTTCCTCCACAACCATGCTCTCTGACGACCGGCTAACTCGGCGAGCGCCCTGCTCCCAGGGATTCCAGGAGTTACACAGAGCCAAGCCTGCAGGCCGTCCTCGCTACTTACTGCTCTATACCTCAATTCTCGGTAGCTCCACGTTCTTCCCTCTCTACACGGGTCTCAGCTGCCCAACCCACTCCTTCCTTCTGCCCGCGCGCGTTCTGCGGCTCTCGGGCCTGGGCCTCACCGTTTGGTTCGGTCCGGAATGACCCGGCCCTCCGGCTCCCACTTCTTAAAACGAAGTGGCGTCGGTTGGTACGGCGCCCCACACTGCCAGTCCACACGCTGCCGCCTACTGATGCCGAAAGCGGATTCTAGGAACGCGCCATGTTCAGCGTCGCGACTCCAAACGACGCGGACGCGCTGATATTACGTCACAGATTTCCAAAGCTCAAGAGAGGCAAAAGAAGACGATAGGCGAACAGTGAAAAGGAGTGGGCGGAGCTTTCTCTTCGAACCTAAAGGCGCCCGGCATCCAAATCAACAATGTGAGCATGTGCAGTAGAGCCCCGACTAGCTGAATGTGTAACCATGGCAACAGTAAATCCGCRTTGCCCTAAACTGGAAAAATCAGCTGTCTCCTGGATTGCCTAAAACTGAAGTCAGAAACATTTTTTCTTCTAGATATGAACTGCTTGTTTACGGGTCTCGCAGCGCAGAGAATGATTATTACACTCTTAATCCCACCAGTCAACCCTCCTTACCACAGGTTTTCAAGTTCTTGAACTTTCTGGCGCTCTACTCCAAAGCAGCAGCAAGGGTGGAAAGGTTTAAAAGGGCCACTTCTGATTGCTTCTGCGACTAGCTAGCTTACTGATCTGTTTTCTTATTTTTACAAAGACAGATTGTAAAGAAATAGTTGTGTTCATAAACATTAGTAAACATTTGTTGCTCATATAGAATGTACCAGATACTGTTTAAGATCTTTAAGATTGGACCCAAATGGTAAACACTACATTACAAGGATATTCATTACACAAGGGCTGTTTATTAAAGTAAAGAAATAAAAATTACTTGAAAGACCATTAGAGAGGAATGATTAAATCAGAACACATTCACTGATAATACAAATTAGTCATCTAAATTTATGTTGAAGCATATTTGTTGACACAGTAATATATTAGCAGTGCATTAGAGGAGAAGGTTACAAAATGATGTTCAGTAAGATCCCATGTTTGGAAGTAAATGCCAAATGCTAACTGGGCCTGTCACTAGTTGGGTGTTTTTTTGTTTGTTTTGTTTTGGTACCAGGAATTGAACTCAGGGGCCTCACTAAATTGCTCAATCTGGCTTTTTTCCCCCTTTTAATATATTTTTAGTTATCAATAGACCTTTATTTTATTTACATGCAGTGCTGAGAGTAGAACCCAGGGCATCACACATACTATGCAAGTGCTCTACCACTGAGCCACAACCCCAGCCCTCTACATTTGGCTTTGAACTTGCCATTCTTCTGCCTCAGCCTCCCCAATTGCTGGGATTACAGGCATATGCCGCCACATCTGGAAGCTGGATGGTATTTTGACCAAGCTTCATTTTCTTTTTGTTTAACTCTATCTTCTCATTATATATATATATATATATATATATATATATATATATATATATATATATAAAATTTTAAGTGTGTGTCAAGTCATGTAGGGATCTTGTTATAATACAGGACTGATTAATCTAGTCTGGGATGTTTCCTAAAATTCTTTATTTCTAATAAATTCCAGATAATGAGTACTGCAGTGTAAGCTGGTAATCCAAGTAACTGAGGTGGCTGAGGCAAGAGGACTGTAAGTTCTAGGCAAGCCTTAGCAACTAAGTGAGATTCTCAGCAACTTAGCAAGTCCCTGTCTCAAAATAAAAACAAAAAGGACTGGGAATGTGGCTCAGTGAAAAAGCACACTGGCGCTCAATCTCCAGTACCAAAAAAGGAAAAAAGAAGTTTCCAGATGATGCCAATGCTGCCAGCCCACAGATGACAGTATGAGAAACAGGACTCTAAGGAATTTTGATGTAGAAAAAGTTACCTAATTCAAAATAGAAGAAAAACTGGTTTAGAAGAGTAGATCTCGCCTATTTGGATAATGAACCATTTGGAAATCAAAGGAAATCTCTACATTAGAAAAATGTGTCAGGTGTGGTAGGTGAAAGYCTGAAATCCCAGCAACTCTTGGGGCTGAGACAGGAGCAATCCAAGTCCAAAGCCAGCCTCAGCAACTTAGTGAGGTCCTAAGAAACTCAGCAAGAATCTGTCTCAAAATAAAAATAAAAAGGGATGGGGATGTGGCTGAGTGGTTAAGCACCCCTAGGTTCAATCCCTGGGATCAAAAAGAAAAAAAAAAAAAAAACCAGAAAGGAAGAAAACAGGGAATGGGGCTGTGGCTCAGTAGCAGAGCACTTGCATGTGTGAGGCCCTGGGTTAGATCCTCAGCACCACATAGATAAAATAAAAAGGTACTACATCTACCTACAACTAAAAAAAAAAAAAAGAAAGAAAAAAAATTTAAAAATTTTTTAAAAAGAAAGAAAGAAAACCAAACCATAAAAATGCATGTATGCAAATTTTTCCAATAATGTAAATCCATTTGGGGGTCCTAGGTACTGTGAATATAAAAGCTAGTTACATACTATGAACAAAATAAATATGTACAACTGAATAAATCATGTCATTTTCTCAGGGTTTTTAGAGAAAAGAGTAAACAAATATTTAAATTAACACCATTGGGCCTGTTGTGATACATCTGAAATCTTAATATAAATTCTGTTTTCCCCCACATATAGCTGAGAACAGTAAAGGAAAAGCAGAAAGTTAATGAAGCAAAGGCTAAATTAAAAAAACACTGATTTCCATTCCCTGTCAATCTTAATTTAAAAAACTCATCACAATAAGTAACACTCATTCTGCCTCAATAATTACATTATTATAATTAACTTCCAATAAATACTTCTTATGTGTGGGGCATGGTGGTGTATACCTGCAGCCCCAGCCTCTTGATAGGCTTAGGTAAGAAGAACACAAGTTCAAAGCCAGCCTGCACAACTCAAGAGAAACCCTGTTTAAAAAACAAAAACAAACCAGAATTTCCTATATGTCAACTACTGTTCTGTTTTTAAGGACTGGCATTTAACTTGTGACATCTTATGTAATTTATAAGTTCTCATCACCCTCATCTAGAATGGAGAGTAATCTTTTCTTCATTTTACAGATTAAAAGATGATGTTCATAGGAATTAAGTCATTTTTTTTCCAAAGTTAGATTCTTAAGTGGAAGAACACAGACTCAAACTCAGATGCAGTATGTATATAATGACAGGTACAAAAAAAAGATGTCCACATCCGCATGCCCCAAACTTGTGAATGTATTACCTCAGATAACAAATGAGATTTTACCAATGTAAGGATCCTGGTAGGGGAAGATAATTCTAGATTATCCTGCAGATCAAATGTAATCATTGGGAGTTTTCATAAGAGGGTTTTTAAAAAATCAAGAATGTCAGAGAGGCGGCTTAGAAGGAAGATTTGAGAAATTTTCTTAAACATACTTTTTACACCAAAAAAACCTAGGCACACTATTAGACTAAAACTAACCCCAATCTTCTGTGACAATGATTTCAAATGTATTCAAGCTGTCAGTTTTTCATTTGAATATTACTAAAGTCAGAGTACTTAATTTTTCTAACTTCATCAAAAATAATGAAATGAATGACATTCTTGTGTTTTATCTTCTCCCATGATCATCTGTAAAATAGTTCATATAGTCATTTTCTAATTAAAACTATACACTCTGTTTAAAAAATTTTCAACACATGAATGCTTGCAAAGCTCTTACAAGAAATCAAATCCAAAGATGGAAAAGGGGTGTGCCAATTAAGCCTGCCCAATCAGGTCATAAAGATATGACTGAACCCTGTTGTTATCAGCCTCATTTGTCCAAAAAAAGGCCATGAAAGTTCCAACACTTTCTCCTCCTGAGCATAGCAGAGCTGCAGACTCTTGTCGGTACAGGTACATACAAGTGTAAATTATCACACCAACAGAGCAAAAATCTGTGTGATTATATCTAAAAGATTATTATAATTTTAATAGAAAATAAGGGGATAGCAAAGGGGCATTTTGAGGAATCCAGGTCTCTAGGTGTCCTGAAACATTTACCTCTCCACAGGGTATCAGTCCAACTAAAGGAGAGAACTCATTCCTATCTCTGGCCAACAAAGATAATGCTTTCCAAAATATTTTAAAGTTAAAATAATGCTTATTTTTAAACTATTAGGGCCTAAAATAAGAATAAAGAGACTGAATAAGGGACAGAGGAGCTTTTCTGTGAATAAAGACAGTAAACTTCAGAGCATGTATTTTTTGACAATGAGTTACTGACTTCTGAACTTTCTTGCTTTCTTCCAGGCTCCTTCCAAATGGTTGGGGTTATTAGGCATTAAGTTGCTCCCTTTCAAATAAGCAATATAAATAATTTGCACTTATTTTAAAAAGTGTCAGAAAGAATAAAATATGACCATGCTAGTAGAGGTCAGAGCAGTGCGGGGGCCATGAGCTGGAATGTAAGCAACCTGTAGAAGTTGGGAAAATAAGGGAAAAGATTTTTTTCCCCACAGCCTCTGGAAAAAAAAAAAAAAGCTCTGTAGACTATTCTTAACTTCATCTCCATATTCCAAGATAATAAATCTATGTTGTTAAAGCAGCAAGAGAAATATATACATATTATAGGGCCATGGGTTTTCTAACTTACTACACTTCATTTATTATTGCAACTTGTACAAAATTAGGACTTGGGCAAGTCTATGTTATAATACAGCTCATTGGATGTTTACAAGTTTACCCATTAGATGTTTACAACATACCAAATAAGGATTAAGACTTTGAGAAATGATTTCATCTTTGTTACTATAATTCATAGTAGATTAATTTTTATTCAAAACTTCAAACTATAACAAATTCTTTTAGTAAAGATTGATTATATTAGCTATGATATGTTCATTCAATTGAGTGCCTGTTAAAAATGATGCAGATTTTATTCATTAACATTAAAAGATGCCCAGAATATTTAGTTAAGTAAGAATAGGAAGTTAGAAGAGTTTTATGTATCAAAAAATTTTGAAAAACACACACCAATATCTTAATAGGTGTGAATTCTGGATAGTTTCATCATCTACAATCTTTTAGTATCTAAATGATTTTTATTTATGTATTTATTCAAGTAATGCTTGAACAGTACAAAATAATAAATACAATTATTTCTAGTTTGGAAAAAGAAACATAATAGCAAAAATAAAGTGAAGTGGGTATTTCTCATATTCTTCTGGTGAAAATGAAAATTGATTAAACTGTTTCTGAAAATAATTTGTCAATATATATCCAAAGACTAAAATGTTCATATAATTTGACTAAATAATCTCATTCTTGGAACTCTACACTAAAGGATATAGAAATATTCTTCMTGAACTCACTAAAATGTATAAGACTCAATTTTTTTTACATGACAAATGGTATAGAAATGATTTAATAGTAAACATATACATTCACAAGATGAAATCTTCTTCTTCAGGAGCTGTGAATATTGATTATCCAGGATATGAAATTACTTGAAAAAGTGTTTTTTCTTTGTGGTACTGGAGATCAAACCCACGGGCTTGTACATGCCAGGCTCTTACTCTACTACTGAATTACACTTATAGACACAAGTGTCTTTTGTGTTATTGTATTTATGGAAAAAAAAACAGTAAATTGTATGTATACCCTGACTATGTAAAAACATGCATTACTAAAACAACAAAAAAGAATGTGTCAAAATGATCATAAATTATTCCAGCATAATGAAATCATAGGTAACATTTTCATCTTTTTTCTACTTTCTGTATTTTCCAGGACTTTTACAAGTTAAGTTTTTGGTTTGATTCTGTGATTTTGTTTTCAATGTAGCTGTCCTATCTTTGGGTCCCTGGAAATTCATAGGAGTGGAAAAAATAAAATTAGCTTTACTTACTTTATGCATTGATTGTTAACTTGGATGTAGCCTTTTTTCCCCTTTTCTCATTCCTAGGGATCCAACCCAGAACCTTTAGCATAGTAGGCAATTGCTCTACAACTGAGTTACACTTCCAACACAGACATAGCTTACTTTAACATTCATGTCAAAGATTTAATCTTTTAACTTAATATTTTCAGATCCTCTGGATCTTATTTTAGATTGTCATTAAAAAATAAAAATTGATTTAAATTATAGTTGGAATGTCTGAGCTAGTACCTTTTTGCTTCACTGTCCATTGACCAAAAGGACTATGATGCCAACACAGAGCTGGAAGTAGAAACCAATGAAGCCCACAGGAGGTAGGCTGGTGCCTTATTTTGACATAGTAACTAGGTTCCACCCCCATCTCTGACACCTGTAGCACTTAGGAAAATACCTTTATTCTTTATGAGACTGGATTCCCTCACGTGTAAAACACGATAATCAAGCTTGCCCAAACGACTTCATGTTTCATTGAAAATAGCCAGGCTTGGTGGCACACGCCTGTAATGCTAGCGACTTAGAAGGCTGAGGATCATGAGTTCAAAGCCAGCCTCAGCAATTTAGCGAGGCCCTAAGTAACTCCGCGAGACCCTGTCTCTAGAAATATAATAAAAGGAGGCTGGGAATGTGGCTCAGTAGTTAAGCCCCCCTGGGTTTAATCCCTGCTACCAAAGAAAAAAATAATAGAAAATAAAAATTATGTAGAAAGCATTCTGAAAAACACAAACTGTGATACGAAAACAAGGGGGAATGCACACAATCAATTGCTCATCAAAACAGTTTTCTTTAGAAATGACAGGAAAAGACTTTTTTCCCATAGAGTATACACTGAAAATTTTAAAACTGAGAGCCACTACATTGGAAGGTGAAATTGACGCAGATCTTGTATTCATGGAGGTTACAGTCGGATTGACACTCCTATTACAACACCCAATACATACCTATTACCACACTTACAGCGTTTTGGAGCTTTTGGTTGATCTCTCAGTGGAATAAACTTTGAGAGCAGTCTCTAATATGTAACCGTGAATTTCCAGCAGTGGCCTATACACAGCTGGGGCTCAAAAAAAAATGTACAGAGAGTGAATGATGAAGCACAAAGGGAAGTAAAGGAATCAGAAGCGCTAGTGGAACTAGAGGGTAATTCCATTTTCGGAGTTCCTTTCTATACAGCAAGCAGAGGAGAAACGTAAGGAGTTTCCACCCTGCAATCTGCACGTAAACAGGAAAGAGACACATGAAAGAAAACTTCTCTGGATGTCAGCGATCCCAGAACCTGGCCTAATAGAGGAGGCTTAACCACATTAAATAACTTAAACCTTACGCTTAGAGTACCACACAGCTTCTCCGCTAGCTCCTTGTGGACCGCGACGAGATACCCCGCCCCAACTCTAAACCAGCCAATCCAAACTGTCGGAATCGGTGGCGCGGTGCCTTCTGGGATTCGTGGCTCCCGAGTCCAGGCTTTCCTGCAGCTGCTGATTACAATTTCCGGCGACCCCTGGGCTCCATGCTCAGCATCCTTCTGGGGGAGGAGTCCAGGGCGTACGGAGGCGGAACGTGGGCCTCGCCCCTTCCCCACGTCGTGCGTACGGGTGACTGGCAGCGTCTCTCTAGTGCTGCAGAGACTATAGCTTTCAAGCTTTGGGACTTGTACACTTCGCGGGCCTAGGTTCCCGCTTTTTGCAGGGATGCCGAAGATCAAGTCAGGGGCGAGCGGCTGCCGCAAGCSACAGGAACAGCGCCGGGAGCTAAAAAGCTCCGGAGGTGTGGACAGCCGGGAGGAAACAGGGTTCCGGTCTAGTCTTACTGCGGGACCATTCCTGGCGCGGACCGAGGCCCAAACCCGGGTAGATGGCCCGCTGCCACCTGCGCTCCTGAAAGCGCGGATGTGGGAGGTTCTTGGAGCGCCGGCCCCAGAGCCCAGCGAGTCTCCTCGAGCAAGGCCCGCGGGGGGATGGACACTTAAAAGCAGTGTGGTCAGTCCCGGCCCGGGGTGGGATGTTCGCTGGCTTCGTTGGCACAGAAATCTAACCCCACTACCGATCCTGCTGTCGTCTCTGGGACGGACTGATATCTAATCGTGGTTGAGAAATTAAGGCTGTTTTGTGTTTTCTTCCAGGACTCATGTTCAACACGGGAATTGGGCAACACATTTTGAAAAATCCTCTCATTGTTAACAGCATTATTGATAAGGTGGGTGTGATGGAGGAACAGGAGAGAAGAGTTTGTTGGATTATAATTTTATTTTCACCATACTTAAGCGGAGAGAGAATGTCAGACATAAAGTAGATGTTTGGTAAATATTTGTTGAACGAGTTAAAAAATGGTCTAGGACTCACAGGCTGGGTCAGAATTGAGAAATATTGATTCTTAGTCAAATTCATCATACACAGTTCTTTCCCATTTGAATTTGTTGGTATGAACAGAGTTGGTAACAGGATGCTATTGGAATCATTTCCTAAGTAGAAAGACAATATAGAAAGAAATGCTATTGTTTTTCTGACTCCTAAAGATGAGAAGTATACCCCAGGTTAAGAGAGGTCTTAGCTTTTCATTTGCACCTAATATATTAATTTTGGAACCACACATATGAAGAAATCTCATTAAAATGAAGTCTGAGTAAGATCTCTGAACGCTTACAAAGATGTTCAAGTATAAACTATGAGTTCCAAAATGCTAAAGGATCTCAAATGGTTGTGCTTGCTTTTAGGCTGCCCTAAGACCAACTGATGTGGTGCTGGAAGTTGGACCTGGAACTGGCAACATGACTGTAAAGTTGTTAGAAAAGGCAAAAAAGGTAAAAATGAGGTTTAATGTTTTAATATCACAAATGACTGTAGCAAGCTCAGCTGGTATACAAACATAAAACTGTCTTAATTGTAATGCTTGATCCCTTACTAGGAATTTTATCTTAGGAAGTATGAGATATATTAGGAAAACTGGACATATTAGCTGAGCATGGAGGCACACACCTGTAATCTCAGCAACTTAGGGAGACCCTGTCTCAAAATAAAGGGCTGGGTGTGTGGCTTAGTGGTTAAGTGCCCTTAGGTTTAATCCCTGGTACCATTAAAAAAAGGAAAGAAAAGAAAACTGACATATTAGGTATTTTGACAGGGAATTAATTATTGTAGTTAGAGGACTAAAAGAACAAAATGGGAACACTAAACCCCAAAATAATTACAAAGATCAGTCAACCGCCTTTAGCCCTAGAGAAACAAAGCAAAGAAATTGTAATTTTTGGAACCCAGAAATTTATAGAAGACCTACAGAACTAGCGTTCATGCCTCTAAGATTGAGGTGCCACCTGGTCACTTCCAGTACTTTTTTTGTGTTTTGACTAATCCAGCTTTCAGTTAAGTGGAATCATTGTTGGGTCCTTGGTGGAAGCAAGCAACACATTTTAAAGGGCTTATCTAAAGAGAGTGATGAAGACTCTTTAGAGATGTATGAGAATGGGATTCAAGGAATCAATAAGCATTAATGAAATAATGAGGAATAGCTACAGCAGGAAGCAGTTACCATCAAAAGGCCTGGTTAAAAGGGGAGAGACCAAGGAGAGTGTGATTTATTGAAGAGAAGCCACAACAGAACATAGCTCCTACTGAAATATCTGAAAGGCATGGAATAGGCTAGGAAATAAATACCCAATCTCTCCATTATAGGTACCCCATATTGGTGCTTTTATTTATTTTTTGGTGCTGGGGATAGAACCCAGAATCTTCACATGCTAGGCAAATGCTCCACCACTGAGCCACAATGGTGTCCAGCTGCTGCCTTTCACTGGCCAATCCCAACCAGAAGCCAAAGTATAAAGGAGCTGGACAGCATTTATATGGCAAAGCAAAGGTGAAATGAGTATCAAATATAAGGTGAAAATATAAAATGAATCTGGGAGCCAGAAATAAGCAGCACGTGTTCTAAGCCATACACATGGTCTTCTTGGAAGTCAATGAAACCTAAGAACATATTGCAATAAAATTACAAACATAGCTTTGTCTGCTATCCATTTTCACTTGAGAAGTTACTTATGCCACATGTTCTGGATCTCAGTTGATGAAAGAAGTAATATACTAGGAGTAGTTTTGTAAACTCTGGTCTAAAAACACTACATACATATTGTATATTCTTTTTTATCCACTGCTTAGTTACAAAGCATAGAGACAAAGCCAACAGAACAATTCTGGTGATTACTTGAGAATTCTCACATAGTGTCTGCTTTTCTGGGTGATGTTTTTTCTTTGTTGTTTAAAGTGGTAGAAAATAATTGAAGGAGTATGGTTAGAAATTGGAAGACAGTTTAAATCATATAAGAATTACCGGTTGGGTAATAAGATACTTCATAATGAACCTAATAAATTTTTTTTTGTTAATTTAGGTAATTGCCTGTGAACTTGACACAAGGCTAGTAGCAGAACTGCACAAAAGAGTTCAGGGCACGTGAGTATACACAATAGAATTAAAGTGCATTTCGGTCTCTTGAAACAACATTCTTCTAAATTTATTTTCATATTTTTAGACCTCTGGCCAGCAAACTTCAAGTTATGGTGGGTGATGTGTTGAAAACAGACTTGCCATTCTTTGATACTTGTGTGGCAAATTTGCCTTATCAGGTATATCCTCAAGTTGTCAGAATCATCTTACTAAGTGTTTCTCTGATGTGTCTTTCCTGAGAGTAACTAGTAATTCTCTTACAGATCTCTTCTCCTTTTGTCTTCAAGCTGTTGTTGCACCGACCTTTTTTCAGGTTTGTGACAAAAAAACAAGAGTTACTGCCATATTTAAGAAAGATGGACAGTTTAGGCCAGGAACACAAAAGACAGTTGAAAATGAAAGTCAAGTAAACTGAAAAACTATTGTAGACTTTTTATAGAAAACATTGATTTGTATGGATTTCTTTCTCTTTTTCAATTGACCAGAGTTATTTTGTAGAGCATTGGGAGGGTAGTATGACTTTCCCTATTTTCTAATCCTCTGCCATTGACATAGATCATACTATTTTATTACCTTATGTCTAGCTAAATTGAAGTGGCTTCCTAACTGGTCTCTGGTAGTGGCTTTCAAACTGCAAGTCAGATACCCCTTAATGGTTATAAAGTAAATTCAGTGAGTCATGATCATCCTTTTTTTTTTTTTTAATAACATGGAATAGAATATATCAGAAGGCACTGTACATGGTCCAGGTGATATTGTTTCATGAAACTTTGGTTTGAAGTATATAAACAGAAATACATACAGATATTTTTGTAATTGCAGACATATTTCTTAATGTGATTCACTCACAGAAAAGAATTGAAATGCAGCTTTGAAGTTGATTTTGTTAGCCTCCCAAAGTCTCCCTGTTGCTTGAAGAAAAGAATCCACATTCTTTAAACTGTTAAACTAACAGGACATAATATCAAAACTTGCCTTTCCAGCCTGCAGTATTTCTTAAAAGTATTACCTGCCAGTCAATTTTGTGTGTTTATATGTAGTACTGACGATTGAACCTTTGGGTGCTTTACTACTGAACTTTCATACCCAGGCCTTATTATTTTTTGAGACAGGGTCTCAGTAAGTTGCCAGGGGTGACCTTGAACTTGAGATCCTMCTGCTTTAGCCTTCTGAGAAGCTAGGATTACAGGTGTGCACCACTGTGCCCAACAACAGAATCAGTTTTATTGTTTTTGTATAAGGGGTGATGTACTGGTACAGATCTGAAGTACCTACTCATCTGATGTTTGAGGGCAAGCAGTCTTCCTTGGGGTTAGGAATATGGCCATTATAAAACATAACAAAGCCAACTATTTTCATTTTGTGGTAACAAAACTAAAGCTTAAAGTTTTCTACCTTCTAACCTGCTAAACTCATCATCATTAACTACAGATACTGCTCTGCTATTTCCTTCCCCTCAAAATTCAYTGTAGTCAAAGTACATTCATAGTTGATAGTGATGATTTCCTTATTCTTGTTTTCTTTTCAGATGTGCTATACTTATGTTTCAAAGAGAATTTGCCCTCCGACTGGTTGCAAAACCTGGAGATAAGTTATACTGCAGACTCTCAATTAATACACAGCTATTAGCACGTGTGGACCATCTAATGAAAGTAAGTGTATTTTATTACTGAAATAGGCTAGTAACCTCATCTTTTGAGCATCTAGCTGTGCCTTTTGTGAGAACAGAATCTTTGATTACTAACTAAAAGTTGCTTTTGAGAGGATTAAATGTTTTCTGATTAACAGGTTGGAAAGAATAACTTCAGACCACCACCCAAGGTAGAATCCAGTGTTGTAAGGATAGAACCCAAGAATCCACCACCACCTATCAATTTTCAGGTGAGGTTAAAATACTATATCATTCAATAAACAAAAGAACTCTAACTTAGAAAATCTGTGGCTATAATAGCAGAAAAAAATATTGTAGGTCTAAATAGATAGGAAAATGTGAATTACAGCTTTGTGATGATGGAGTAGATGGAATAATTTGATGCATGATAGAAAGACAAAACATATGTCTGTAAAAGACAAAACAATTAGAATGCAAATGCATTGTACTTAAGAGAGTATAGCTCTGAAAATCTTATCTATTTGAGTAACTTGTAAAAAAGGTAAAATGAAAATTGTTTTGAGTAATATTTTGGGTAATACTCTGTAATAAAAATTCTTGTTTTGTGACTTAAAAAAAGAAATCTAGACTACTTGATGTCAAATCTTTACTATAGTCACATTATGGAAAAACATAATTGTTTGATAACTTGTTTTAAGTGATTTGTCCAAAACTCCTTTAAGGAGGTTTAGGTGCATTGCACAGGCTATATCCTAAATCATGTCTGTTTTGAATCTCATTTTTAATTTTTTGTGGGTTTGATAATAGAGATCAAAACTAAGGGTGTTTACCATTGAGGTACAACCCTCATCCTTCTTATTTTTTTGAGATGAGGTGTCACTAAGTTGATGAGGATCTGTGCTGCTAAGGCTGATGTCAAACTTGTGATCCTCCTTCCYCGGACTTTTGAGTTGCTGGGATTGCAGCTGTGTGACACTGCACCTAGCTGAATCTTTTTTTTTTGGGGGGGGGGGTATCAAGGATTGAATCCAGGGGCATTCAACCACTGAACCATATCCCCAACCCTATTTTCGATTTTATTTAGAGATAGGGTCTCATTGAGTTGCTAGCCCCTCACTATTGTTGCTAAGGCTGGCTTTGAACTTTGATTCTCCTGTCTCAGCCTCCTGAGCTGCTGAGATTACAGGCATGCACCACTGTGCCTGGCAGAATCTTATTTTTGAACACAATATGGTTCTTTGTTCACATGTGGACTTTGTACACAGTACTGGGGATTGAACCCAGGTTTACTCTACCATTGAGCTACATCCCCAGCCTTTTTTCTTTTGAGTTAGGGTCTTGTTAAGTTGCCAGGGCTGGCCTTGAACTTGCAGTCCTCTTTCTGCAGAGTCCCTAGTAACATGGAGCCAAGTGCAGTGACATATGCCTGTAATCCTAGCAACTCAGGAAGCTGAAGCAGAAAGATCACAAGTTCGAGACCAACCTAGTCACATATAGGACTATTTTACATTTTTTTCTTAATTTAAAAAAATATTCAGTGAAGGGCACAAACACACAAGAATCAAGAATACATCTTACTTTAGCATACCATATGCATCACTAAAGGTTTCTTCCAGTTTTATACATCAAAAAACAAAAACAGGGTGGAGCTGGAGCTCAGTGGTAGAGCACTTGCCTAGCACTTGTGAGGCACTGCATTCAATTCCCAGCACCATATGTAAGTGAATAAGTAAAATAAAGGTCCGTCGACAAATAAAAGAACAAAACAACACCTAATAGGCAGTGGCAAGGAGTTTGGTGTTTTGAGGAAAATATCCATCTTCTGTTTCAGGAATGGGATGGCCTAGTAAGGATCACTTTTGTAAGGAAAAACAAGACACTATCTGCTGCATTTAAGTAAGTATATTACTAATTTCTAATATATGAAGGGCCAGTGCCCCAGACACCATCCTAGAATCTGGTCCTTTTCCTGAATAGCCAGCCCAAAGCATAAAGATTATTCATCCAGACAGTCTTCATCCTTTTAACTATCGGTGCTTTAGAAGGCAGAATAATAATGAAGAAAGTTCCTAGAGTTGAAGTCAGATAAGAGTTATGGAAAATTAGGGGCGGGGGGGGGGGGGGACCTGACCATCTACTTACATAGGTTTTTTCCCCCCCTTGTCGGAAAAATGTAATAAGTTGAGTGCAGTGGTGCCTGTGTGGTCTCAGTAACTTAGGAGGCTGAGGCCACATTATAAGTTCAAGATCAACCTGGGCAAAGCAAGACCTTGTYTCAAAATTTAAAAGCATAAAAAGGAGTGGGGGATGTAGCTTAGTGGTAGAGGATCCTTGGAAGATCCTTACAAAAAAGAAAGAAGGTGTAATGATGGTCCACCCATTTAACATTTGTGGATAATTTGTGCCATTTTATTAACTTGGAAAATGAAACACAACTTAAAGTCTAAAGGGAAAAAAGAGGCGAGAGCCAGCTTTATACGGTTTGGAGATTTAAAAATGCTTATGTAGCCAGGCACAGTGGTGGATACCTGTAATCTCAGCAACTTAGAAGACTGAGGTCAAAGGATGACAAGTTTGAGGCCCACCTCAGCATCTTAGCAGACCCTGTCTCAAAATAAAAAATAAAAAGGACTGGGCATGTGGCTAAATGGTATAGTACCTCTGGGTTCAATCCTTAGTACCAAAAAAAAGGGGGGGTAAAAAATCTTGTCCATTAAAAAAAAAAAAAAAAAAGATGTTTATCAGGACTCTGCTTTTTAAAAACAATTTTTGCATCATAAAAGTTTAAGTATTCAACACCTTTTTATTTAAATTCCTTAATTTTAGCAAGTGGAACATATATTTAATTTTATTGAACAGAAATTATGTACAAAATCTCTGATTTGGAAGTAATATTTATATCACTTATTTACGTTATAGATCAAGTGCAGTACAACAGCTGTTAGAAAAAAACTACAGAATTCACTGTTCACTCCATAATATTGTAAGTATAAGTTGTTTCAATTATTTGTTACAAAATATCCATCTATTTTTTTTTATTATCATGAGATTAATTTTGTACATATCAGTGATCCTTAAAAGACAGTATATGATGTATAACTAGTTTAATTTTGACTTGAATACTGAATGGTATTACGACAGGGTAGAGTAGTCGAGATTGCTCAAGATGCTGCAATAGATCTTGAGCAATGACTACTCCACCCTGTCGTAACTGCTAATAACTTTAAAAAAAAAAAAAAAAAAAGGATTATATTTAGCTGGGCACAGTGGCACACACCTGTAATCCCAACAGCTCGGGAGGCTGAGGCAGGAGGATTTCGAATTCAAAGTCAGCTTCAGCAAGTTAGTGAGGCCCTAAGCAACTCAGTGAGACTGTATCTAAATAAAATATAAAAAAGGGCTGGGGATGTGACTCAGAAGTATCCCTGGGTTCAATACCAAGTATTCCCCCCCCACACACACACACAAAAAATCCGATTTAGCCAAGTATTTTCTTAATGCTATAAATGTATAACTTTCTCATTTTAAAATAATTGTGTACAATTTGCTATCCTCTGAATTGTGATCGTCCCATTTGGTGCTCATGTAGCAGTCATAAATTAATTTATTTTGGTACTGGGGATTGAAACCAGGGGTGCTTGACCAGTGAGCCATATCCCTACTCTTTTTAATTTTTTGAGACAGGGTCTTGCCAAGCTATTTAGCGCCTCACTTAATCCCTGAGGTTGGCCTTGCAACTGTAATTCTTCTGAGCCCCTGGGATTACTGGTGTGCAATTACAAATTTAAAGTTAGTTTTCTTTGTAGCTATTTTTTTTATAAACTTTTTTTTAAAAAATATTTTATTTCTTTAGTTGTAGTTGGACACAATACCTTTATTTTATTTTTTACATGATGCTGAGGCTCGAACCCAGGGCCTCACGCACGAGGTGAGCGCTCTACTGCTTAGCCCCAACTCCAGTCCCTTTGTAAATATTTTTAATACCTAGAAATTGAAGTAATTAAATACAGTATAGGCTACATAGCAGACTTCTTTGTTGTGAATTTCATACCACTTAACACATCCATAAATTTTTTTAAACAAGAGTAAGGGCTGCCTCCTTCACGTGGAGGCAGCCCCCACTCCCTTTCCTGACTTACAGTATGCAGTATATTCATGCACATATTCACATGAAGATGTTTGCTTTTTATGGCTCAGATCCTGTATGGTTTAATGCACCACAAATACTGTTTCCATCCTATGTTATGGGTAGGTCATGAAACATCGGYTTAAGTAAACTGTTAAGCTGGATTAAGAACAATCTTTTGAGTAGAAGATGTGAATCAAATATGAAACACTTAATATTCTAAATGATCAGAGACAGGTCATTCCAGAAAAATTAACTGGTTAGGTGAAATTGTGGCAATAAAATGTGAGAATTTTGAAAGGAGTAACAGCTGCTTTAAATAAAATTTCTAGCTTTATGAAGTCTGAAATTAGTGACTATTTCAGAATTTTAATGATGAAATCGGGCAATGTACATGATACCCATTCAAGATATTCTGTGTTAAAGTGGTAAAAAATGAGCCACTTAACTAATTAGAGATCTCAGTCTTATCCAAACCGTCAGGTTTTCCACACTGTCATCAAAAGATGTATTAAAACGGACTACTTAAGACTTACTGGATTAGGCAAAAAAAAGAGCCAAGGGAACTTCATTAAAGATATGTTCATTTATTCTGAATCTTATATTGATAGATAATACCAGAAGATTTCAGCATAGCAGATAAAATACAGCAAATCCTAACCAGCACAGGTTTTAGTGACAAACGGGCCCGTTCCATGGACATAGATGACTTTATCAGATTGCTACATGGATTCAATGCAGAAGGTATCCATTTTTCCTAGCTATTTGGAAAATAATTTTGTCAAGGTCAAGAAAAATTAATTTTAGATTTCTAATATTTGAGAAGACAAATTCTGCTTTTGCTCAATTGGAACATTATTTGCTTGACTATTTTTGTACTGTTATTTTGTATTTTTAAG